GAACTCACATTTCTTTTCTCTGGGTCAAAAGTTTAAAGTCAAGCATTTGAGTGCAGGTTATGCCATACAGAAAATAACATTTATACACAGTTGTGGCACAAAAGTCTTGATATACTGGTGGTAGGAAAAGAAAGCACACACACACACATACACACACACACACACACACACACACACACACACACACACAGCACAGCACATGAGATGTACTTGTACTTGCTTTAGAGAAAATCTAAAATATAGCCTAAGTTTATTTGGGACACTAAATTTTACCTAGATTTTAGAAGATTCACTCTCTGTAGCATATTGCATTGAAATAGGAAGGAGCATACCTCAAAGCTCAATGAAAAACAGCCAACTTTGTAACATTTTAACAGACAACCTTCCTTTAAGCATGCTTTAAACTTTTGAAAACTTTATTGTTATTGTGTGGAAATGTGTGTGTGTGTGTGTGTGTGTGTGTGTGTGTGTGTGTGTGTGTGTGTGATGTGTATTTGTGTGATTGCAGGTGTGCATGTCCCTACAGTCACCTGTGCACCTGTGGTCAGAGGACAACTGTATGGTGTTGATTCTTCTTTCACTTCACATAGGTTCTGGGCATGGAATGCAGGTCACTAGGCTTGATGGCCAATGGTTTTCCTGCTGAACCATCTTGCCTACCTGAGTATGCTTTCAGTAATAAAACTGTACCTCCTTCCCGATACTAGAAGTCCTAAGTCTTTCATTTTTAGTTGCTTTTATATTGCCATTAATATACTTCTCTGTTGTTTTTGAGTAATGCTTTATATTTGCATAATTGATTTTTTAAGATAGATTTTTTTAAACACGTAGATATCAAGGGAGATACTAAGAAAAACTTTAAAAGGAGAGAAAGGTGGAAATTAAGATATGACAGTTTAAATATTTGAAAGAATATAGGGTTTAAGTTCTGTCATATTAATAAATGCATTCGTTAGATTAACTATCTGACATAGAAGGAAGCTATTTTAAATATTATCTTCCATTATTATTTTACTTTACTCATTTTCAGACATGGGTGCATTTAGTTCACTACATTTGAAGAGAGCAAGTCATGTTTTCAGGTTCTGGACAGTCAATTATTTCGTGTAGGAATAGAGGCTGCACTGTGCCATCAGCACAGTTCAATGTGACCCCCCTCCTCCTAAATCACACTTTTAGAACACTCAAAGGGGTAGCTTCCAACAGAAAACTGATACTTGGTAACTTAATAATAGATCTGCTGGAAAAAAAAAAAAAAACATCTAAGGGACCACATGACTCCTGCTTCTGGACTTGCCATTTCTTTCACATGGTTCCATGCTGTTCATAAGGCTTCACCCTTCTGTTTCAAATCACTGTTGAAATGTCACCTTTTCAGGACCCACCTGGAAATGTTGCTAAAATGCACTGCCTTTCATCCCATTTCCTCCGATTCCTGCCTATCTATCTTCGTAATATACACACCCACTTATACACTGCATATCTGTGTCTCTGTCCCATCAACTAGGATTAGAGTAAGCTCTAGGGAGAAAGGTATTAGTTCATACTGTGCCCATTGAATAAAGCAGCGGGCTCCCAGGAAAGAGAAATAAATATGTACACGAGGTTCCTTTTAAAAGTGCTTTCTGACTTCCGTTACTGGCGCATCAGGTAAAAGCACATGCCATTCAAGCCTGGCAACCCATGTTTGGTCTCTGGAATCCACAGGTAGGTAAGAGAGTGCCAATTTCACCAAGATTTTCTGACCTTCACATGTGCACTGTGGCTTGTGCCCCTCCATCATGTGCTCTCACACACAGTGTTAAAGAATTAAATAGAATAATTAATTTAAAAAATTTCAGTTATATTTACCAGAATGTTTCCAATTTTGTGATATTTCCTTCTTTCTTTGGTATGCATGTGGTTGTGGTGTGCATGTTCATTTTTGCCTGTGTATGCATGTGAAGGTCCAAGGTAGATGTAGGAGTCTTCTTCAGTCACTCTCCATTGTGTTCATTGAAGTGGGGCTTCTCTGGATTGGACCAGGAGCTCCCGGGTATGATTAGTAGCTCGACAGATTGCTTTAACCACTGGACCATCCCCCCAGCCCCTTATGATGATTATTTTGAACAAAAAATTATTTGGACTATTAGCATTTTCTCTCATTGTTAATTTCAATTTACTTATAAATCAGATCTCTAATTTAAAAAAACTGAATTAAAAAATTTCTTGTTGTTAGTATGACATGTACTTGTGCTATCTGTGAGTGTGGGAACATGTACCATGATGTTCACGTGGAAGTCAGAGGTCAAGTTTGTGGAGCTAGTTCTCTTTTTCCACCTTTACATGGCTTCTAAGATTGAACTCACTCAGGCCCTCAGGCTTGTGCAGAAAATACTTTATCACCTACTCATCTTGCTGGCCCTCACTGCTAATTTTATCCTGAAATTAGCAATACTGTGTTTGTGAGTGGAAGGGTAAAGTATTAGGCATTAATAATTAGACAAAATGAATTCAAAGATTACTTTGGTTTTAAAATCTATTTTTGTGACCTTTTATTTTTGGCGGGGTGCGGGGAGAAGTAGAGAGTTTAGGAACTTCAAATCAGTTTTGCTTCCTTTACATTTTTTTTAGGCAACACATTGAAATTTGGGCTTATTCTCTGAGTGTACAAGAGGAGAAAATTTCAGCAAATGAACTTCTGAAATGATTTTTGTCAGTGAGGAGTACTCAGTGATCAGCACTTAAACTTTCTAAAGTGTTTAGAACCCCCCCCCCCCCAATCCTCCAGGTCACATGAGTCATGTGGTATGAATTCTGTCCAATGTTGTTGATATGTTAGATGCCTAAAGTTTTTAGCAGACTGGTGCCCCTAAGATTATCTAAAAAGAAAATTTCTTGAAAAACATTATAACCTTTAACCTAATTCCTATAACCCTGTGCCAAAAAGAGATACTGATCTGTGATATGTGCATTCAGCTCATGTATGAGCTCAAACAAGGAGCTAGGTAGTTGGTAAAGTAGTTGTTGCATATAGATCATCATGGCCTTTGTTGGCAAGTTTCTCATCCTTAGGGGATCACCTTCTTCTCCACTTTCTCTAATTTTTTTTAGACCATATCCATCCATTATTTGAGTGACTCCATATACAAGATCTTGTATACAAGTATACAAGTACTTGCGGAAGTAGATCTTTCCCAAGGTAAAAGTAAGCAACTAAATAAATTGCTCACATAAGATAACCTTTGATTTTAAGGTTTCACAACTTTATTACTCATTGCCACTTGCTGCAGATACATCTCAACATTATTAACATTCACCCTTGGCTGTGGCTCGACAGCTTTTTTTGCAGGGAGACATTTTTATATATTTACAGTTTAATTGATAATGAAATTTTTAGTGCTTCTGTAACTTTTCAGTTTTCTTTGGTGACTTTTTTTTTTAAATCTCTATCTACCTTTTCTACTCATTTGTTTTCCCTTCCTCTCATTTGAGCTTTTAAAATGCTCTATAATTTTGACAACTGTTAGTTCATTTCTCAAGAGGTATCGCAGTGTTCAGGTTAACGGCTTTGCTCTGGATTTGAATGTCGGCATAATGCTTACTGCTTTCACCACCTGGGCAGGTTAACTTTCAGATGGAGGCACTAGCACTCTTCATGGAGTCAGAAAGATTAAATGAATGAGTGCGTGTAAAGTCCCACGTAGTGCCCGACACACAGTAAACAAACATTACATATTGATATTCTTTGCTGCAGCACCAGCTTTGTTCACCTCACTATGCAGATTGGTTCAGTGTTTTCAGTATGCTAAGCTACTTTACCTTGAGTGAACTGTACAGTGAACACAGTGAACTATTATGCAAGCAGCTAAGATGATGAGGCACATGTACAGCTAATAACCAGAGGAACTACGAATGCTATTTTTTGGGTGGTAATTTTCAGTTCCACATTCCTGTCATAAATTTAATGTTTAAAGGCTGTATCCATGTTAAGACAGTTAGTTCTTTGTAAACAAAAGAAATTATTGAAAAAGGTATGCATGTTGAGAATGGGTGGAGAGGAGTCTTGAACTCTTGAACTTCCTTCTTATATGACTTTTAAAGTGTTGCATTATGCACACAATACTCTTTTTGTACAGTTGAGGATTTTTAAAACATGGAAACAAATTTCTGTCTTTATTTGTGTTGAGTAGGCACTCTAAGGAAAGTCCACATACTTTTAATATGTGTTTTTAAAACTAGATTTAGAGGAGTAAAATCAGATAATACAGGAAGACTTTTATGTGCTCAGTGAGTCGAGAAGCATATTGGTATTATTTTCAATTATTTTTGTTTGTGTAGATTAAGAAGAAATATGTTAGTCATAAATGCCCGTTCATCCATAAGTGTACACAGGTATTTAACACAGCCTTAAAATGCCCAAGTTGCTCTGAAAATGACGGAAATTTTCAAAAGGTAAAATTTAAAATAAGGCAGGAGGAATAAGGGGAGAAATATGTGCACACAAATCTGTGGTTTTCATATTTGAATAATATTTGCCAATAAGTAAAGGTGTAACCTCTTCTATTTGAGGTTGTGTGCCAACCACTTACACTGTTATTTCACTAACACAGTCATGTGCACTTAAGTGCTCCACAGGTATTTAGCATGCATCTCTTCATCTATTTGTGATTAAATATACATCCTTTGATGTCAGCCTACCATAATTTAGAGAAAATAGTCTTGAACTCTTCTGTAATTACATTTAAATGTAGATTTTTTTTTTTTTCGTTTCTGATACTCGTTAATTCTGCTGCAAAGCTTTATTTGCTGTAATGAACCAACATCCCTGATCCGCATATCGTTGTGGTTGGTTGGTAGAAGGCCAGTGTTTAAATTTCTCTGAGGTCCCTTGCTGAGTGGCATCACAGGATGAAGAGCTCTTCAGGAGGGGGAATGTGCTTGTGGTTTTTGGTCTTGTGCATTTTATGACAAAGGAATTCCCTTTTGAATCGCGCTGCTCCTCTGAAACCCTGGAGCCTCTGGTTCAAGCAGCAGCCTTCCGTCTGTGCAGTGTCCCTGACGTCATCCGGCGTATGCATAAGCCCTGCTATTGTCTTACTGCTCCAGCAGGGCTGAGGATTGCAGTATCCGCGCTGCTGCTCGCAGACCTGCCTTGCGCTAGCTACCTAGCCCTGCCTCACTGCATCCCTCAACAGCCGCGTGGGCCTTTCTTTGCCTTGTGGATTTTGAAAAGCAGCTCTTCGGTTTGGGATGGTGTAGGAGACCTTGCTTTCCACTCTCGAGAGAAAGCTGAAGCCCTTAGAGGAGAATCTGGCAGCTGGACATAGCTCGGACTGCATTGTCTGGCTTCATGACCCCTGCTGTGTAGCCAGCTCATCTCTCCGTTCTCAGGAGCACATGCACATCTTACGTTTTCTTACTTCCTTTTTCCTTTTCTTTCCTTTCTTCTAATTTTTTTTTTTAAAAGCAGCTTCTGGAGCCAGCCATGTTTGGTACTGAATCCTCATGTAAGTAAATGGATCCTACTTCTCTTCTATAGAATTGTGTGCTGTCAGGGTTGCCCTGGCTTGAGTTCATGTCACTCAGCCTCAGGTTCATAATATTTGCATTTGCCTCTAATCACAGAAGAATTGGTCTTGGGTAAGAGACTTCCCTGAAGGGATTATTCATTCTTAAAGGCAGGCTTGTCAATGTGGTCAAAACGAGGCCTCCAAGAGGGAGGAGGTAAGACAGGATGCAGGCAGCCTCTCAGACCTTGCTAATTGATGGGATCTGGCCTGTCACTGATCCATTGTTGGAGGCTCCTAATGTCCTTAAACCCTAAAATAGGTGCTGGAAGACTCTGAGATGACAGTGTTTGCAAGATAAGGGCTTGCATTTTTCATCCAAGGAGAGATAAAGGTGTCTTTATATATCTTCCTCCATATTTTTACAAAAACACATGGGTAGACATTACATGTAGGTTTAAGAAGAACAATAAATAGCTTTCTACTTGAGAGAGAGTGCTTTTTTCACAGTGGTTTCAATTTTGGTATGTTGGCTAACATCACAGAATGGCAGCATTGTATACGTTTTAAACTTACACAGTGAAATTGCTTTGGTGCAGAGCAGGCCCAGCACACTGGGCTGGGCTGGACAGCAGTTGTAGACACACTAACCAGGTATTTAAAAAATGGTGATAGTCAACCTAGCTGAGAGCCATTTAATGTTTGATGTGAAGTAACATAGCTTGTCAGTGAGGTTGTACAGGCTCTGCAGAATATTTCACCATCATCTGTAAGCAAAAGTGACAGTTATGAATGTCTAGAGATTTGACCTACTGGCCTGGCTTTGCAGGGGAGAAGGGGGCTGGGTTAAGGCAGGACATTGAGGAAATCTATTTCTGATGAATTTGTAATTTGACCCTAACTTTCTGGTCACAGCCGTCCATGTGACTGTTGAATAGTGGCTGATTATTGTAGAGAAATAGCATTTGAAGAGAGCTAATAACCCTCAGTTCTTTTGTTTCTTGACTGACTTTAAAAAAGCTCATTTTTTGTTGTTTTATTGCTGAAGCCTCCCATTTCCAGTGCTACCATATTTTGTAGTCAAGTTCAAGACAGACTAATAGTGAGATTTAGTGTCCATTCAACACATGTTTCTTAATAATTTGAAAATATTTTAAAATTCATTTAATGGTACATTTGGAATTCTTGTCATCCAAGAAACATCTTTCAGTGGCAGAGATCTTCCAGTTTCTCATTTCAGTAATGGAATTTAATTGATGTAAGACCCTCGGTGAGGACAGAAATATTTATACTGTGTGTTACAGGAAAATTAGTGCTGTTAGAAGCAGTTGAAATGCGTTGTTGGGCTCTTATACCAGGGTCCCTTCCATTGTCTGGCCTGTTTTTCCAAATAGATACAGTTGTTTTTTGTTGTTTTTTTTTTCACCATCAAATCTTATCTTTTGATAGTCTCACCCATGTGCTATCTGGTATATTTGAAAACTGCTTTTGGTCTCCATGGCTACCGTTATGGAACGGAACTCAGTACTAGTCAGCGCACAGACCACTGTCCTGCAAGGTTTTAGCAGTTTTGCTTTGACTGAGAACCTTTTTGCTTTGACTGAGGATTAATGCTTATCTCTGGCTTGTCACTAGAAGCCCACAGGTATCCATGCTCCCTGTGGGCATTTAGGATTAGATGACTGTCTTCTTTCAGATGAGGAGGTTCTGTGCGCTAAGTGTGTCTACGCTGAGCATTTGCTTTGCCTGTAGCCCTTTACCTTCATTACTTTACCTTGGTGTTGTTTTGTGGGCCCGAAAACTCTCCACGTTCAGAACATGCAGGAAGTAGTACTCTCTGAGGTTTTAATTAGTTTGGAAGGAGCCTCCCAGCCCAACTTTGGTGTTCTTCCAGAACTGTCTTAGGAAGTCTTTAGCCAGCTTGCCTGCAGTTGGGGGGGGGGGCAGGTCCTAGAAACACTAGGAGAAGTCTCCTTCAGAGATGGGGGTGTCTATTCTTGACTTCAGGATGCTGTGCCTTACTTGTATCAGATTTTTTACTTTAAAAATTCTTTCCTTTGTTTTTTTTTTTTAGAATATAAAATACTTACATCATTTCCCCCTTCCTTTTCCTCCCTCCAACTCTTCCTGTATACATACCCTTCCTTGCTCTCTTTCAAATTTATGACTTCTTTTGTTCATTAATTGTTGTTAACATGCATTTATGTATATGTCTCTGTATATATTTATTTCTAAATGCCTAAATACAGCCTGCTCTGTCTCTATGATGTTACTTGTGTTTATGTTTTCAAGGCTGACCATTTGGTACTGGATAACCAATGGGTATGTTCTTCCCTGGGGAAGACGGTTTCTCCTACTCTCAGCCTTCCTTAGTTGACTGTTGTTTAAACTGAGGTATGATTGACGTATCATAGGATGGATAAGTCTTAGTATGGCTTCTAAGCGTTTGTACCCATGTTTGTACTGGCAGAACCCCTACCTGGATGGAGATATGGAACACTTCTGTTTCCTCAGGAAGTATTATGGTCTTGCCATTCATTATTACTTCTTCCCCGGCCAAGTGATAATCACCATTCTGATTTGTGTCTTCCCAGACTCATTGTTAATGGCTCTTTTAAATTTTCTTTCTTGCTTCTTGTTTTTTAAGATAAGACAAAGGGAACACATCTTCATTGTTTACTTGTTGAATATATAATTAAGTTGATTTTATGTCTTAGATTTTTGAGGTCAGGTGTCTGTAGTGCCTGCATTCTACATTATTTTATTTCTATCTCACCAAGATGTTGTTTATCTTAAGTAACCCTCCCTCCTAGACAACCCCTAAATAAAAGTAAATAGTCTTATTAAATGACAAAAATTTACCTGAAAGAGCAAATGTCTCACAAGTTAGAGACTTACATCATCATGTAGAAATAATTAATAAGTCTGCATAATGTATGATATAGTTTATTTTATTTAATTTTTTGTCTGTTTTTACAGTGTAAGTGATTCAACCTAGGAATTCCTCCATACTAGGCTAACACTCTTCTCTTCCCAGCCCACTCGCATCGCTCCATCCTCTGTCTCTAACAGTCCTGTCTCGTCTTCCTGACTTGTGGATATTAATTCCTGTAGTCGTGTTGACTGACCATTATCTCCTTAGGCCTCTCTTTGACGTGAAGTTGTCTGTAGTGTTAGGAGACTCATCATGATGAGGTGGGAAGGATAATTGCTCTGAGGTGTCCTGTCACTCTGTTACCATATGATGTATTCTAATACATTTTTTCTTTACTGAAATTATTTGTGTCTAAAAATGGGACTAATGCTTTTATTCTTTGTTAGTTTTGAATAAATGCAATTTTAGTTTGTAGGGGTCAGAATAATTTACATGTAAGAAGAAAATGCTATCAACAAAGTTTTATTGAGTAAAGCAATCGTTAGATGCATATTTGGAGTACTTAACTTGGTTTAATGAAGTTTATATAGAACAATCAGTAGAATTCTGCAAAATTAAAAAAAAAATTCTTAGAAACTGTTTAAGAGGAAAACAAAATTTCAGCTTTTGTGAAGTAAAGAAAATTGGTAACAGGAGAAAAACAGTTTACCTTTTCTGTTTATCAAGTGAGGAAAACTATTTCCACTGCTGCCCTTTGGTCACACTCTTCCTCATAAAGCTGGTTATTCTTCAAAGAATAGATGTTTTAACTGTAATGCACATTATTCGATTAGTATTGCCTGGGCTCAGTCCCTGCCCCCCGCCCCCCCCCCCCCCCAGTATATAACTTTTTTTATTTCTCAAGGGTGCCAATGAAGGGACCGTTTAAGGTATGCAGTGGTGGGAATTGTGCCCTGATACATTAATGAGTCTCCCGAAGCACCTGCCTTATTAGATTAGTACCTTACCTGCTGAGAAATAGGATATCCCCAAGGAAAACAGCATCCTTGAATCCCCCTTCCACATTTTGCTACAGATCTGCAAAGAGAAATTCTAGACTTAGGCATTTGTGAGGCATGGAGGAAACCACCAGAGTACCAACAAAATGGTAACTAGTGTGAGACTTGGCCATCTATCTTAGCCGCGATGAGGTGACGGCAGGCCGTCCAGAGTTCTCTCTTTAGTTTGCCTGCATCACCTGGAGGGGTAATGAGAGAGATCTGTGGGATGTTACTCATATAATTGGTCTGTGATGGGCACCAAAGGTCACCTGTTGCCATTACTTTAATTATAGATCTATTAATTAAGTTGGAACTGACAGGTTAGGAGTAATAGCAACCATGATGTCATGCTACTGAGAACAAGGAGATTCTCAAAAATTTTGATTTTGAGCAGTTGTATGGAAGATAATCAAATGAATACACCCCGTAACATTAGGTCACGAAGCTTCTGGGATGAAGTGCATCTGGTAAGGAAACAAGTCACACTCTTTTATGTGCACCCCGGGACCTTCTTGACAGCTGGCTATATGTAAGGTTGAACTTGGGTCTGTTGTTTTACTGTAACATGTGTGAATAAGTTGAAGTATGAATAGGGGCTATGGCTGCCCCAGATCACCTTTAAAATGGACCATTTCTCAATATAAACACCTAGTTATTATCAAGAACTGTTAGAACTGTTTTTTTTTTTTTTTTTTTTTTTTTTTTTTTTTTTTTTTTTTTTGCTGTTAGTATGTTGGACATTTTAGAACTATACTTATTTTCCCTTTAGTATTTGCCATATGTAACTAGGTAATTTAGGAACACCAGCTATTTTCCTTTCTTACAACATTGATCTGGCTGCTAGTCTTGAGCTCTATTGGATTTTAGATGCTTTCATCTCAAAGCAAAAGTAGAAATGCTTAACTGGGGTTGGACTAAACTCCCAAGTCTGCACTTAGAACATGTATGTAAGAGAAAAATATTATTGCATGGCTTTAGATAAGTAGGGTGCACAGACAACTAAAGCATATAGATATATGAAAGCTAATGTGGCTTACAGGGATTTATGTTGAGATAAGTTCATGTAGGAGCTTGGAATGTTAAGG